CTATTTTATTTATTTTTGGATTACTTGTGTATGTATCTTTTGATCTTTTATATATGAATAATAAGAATAACAATAGTGATGAAAAGAATAACGATATTAACTAAATTGTTGGTAGTATTCACTATGTAGCAGGTACTGTTTCAACTATTGTACGTACATTAACTCATTTAATATTCATACAATTATATGATGCATCCCTTCCTATTTTATAGGCGAAGAAACTGTACAGAGAGTTTAAAGTTAATTGCTGAAAGAAAGTTGTCTGAGCTTCAGAACCTATGTGCCATTTATCCTGTATGCTTATCTATACAAAGAATAAAAGTCATCAAGCACAATTCATCAATATAATTAACAATTTTGTGGATAATTTCAATTTTGAAATAATAGCAATTTTGAACAACTGCTGATTGTTCAAATATTTTTGATAGTGTATGTTTATATTTCTACAAGTTTATTTAACTTTGACACAGTTTATACTTTATATTTGAGAATAAATTCAGAAAATGCTGTAATATACTAACATTTTCTGGTCATACAGATTCTAAAGTCAACCCACCTGGGTGCAATTCTAGCTCTGTCATTTTCCAGCTACATTGGGCACATGACTTTAAACCTCTTTCTGCCTCAGTTTCTTCATTTAAAATAGTTTCTTTCTCATAGTGCTGTTAGGAGGACTAAGTAAGTTAATATTTGTAAAATACTGAGAACATTATCTGGCACCTGGCACACAGGTGCTATATTCAGACTGTTAGGTTAAGTTTGTTGAATAAATACATTATGTCTAGCATGTACTCAATTCCAGTCAGTAAAACTCCAAAAAAGGAAAACCCTTTAGTCATTAATGGTTAATTACTGATATCCAAATGTGGTTTAAATCCCAACTGCCCAGGTTACTTTATTTTAGGATCCAGGTGGTAAGAGCAGGAAAGCAGGAAGCAGGAAATGAGAGAGAATTGTAGGGTCAACACTACAAAGTAATAAAATAGAAAAGTCAACAATTCATAGAAGATCAGAAAGGCAGCAGGTTTTTAGACAGAGGAGCTAACACAGTATAGCACTTCTTACTACTAATCTGTTTAAATTGGCAGTGCATTGCCTATTTGATGTGAAATAATTTTCATTTTAGTGTAGCTATGTGATCTGGAGCATTGTATTTAATGTCTCCATGCCTGTTATCTTGTCTGTAAAATGGCTATGATAATAGTGCCTTTCTTACAGAAATTAATTCAAATGAATTACCATATGTAAGTGCTTACAACAATACCTGGAACAGATTAAGAAGATTATGTCTTTGATCTTCTATACTGGTATTCATAAGTTCATTCCATTCCCTAGCCCTTGTGTACTGTTGTTTTCTCACAAGGAAATATTTAAAAAATAATTAAATCCATTGGGTTCTTGATATAATTGTTCACTTAATAGGGAGTCAAGTCTGAGTTCATCAAAGGGAATAAGAAATTAAAATAAAAGAATTCAAAGGGGTCCTGATACAAAACTTTTCTGAGTACATTTCTGTTGATATTTCAGTGGACTGGTAAAATAGTCTTGTTTCTCAGAGATCTTATATTATGTCTTTTATTTTGTGTTACCAGGATTTGAACTCATGCTTGCTAGGCAGATGCTTTACCACTTGAGACATGGCCCCCAACCCCATTTTGTCATTTTCAGAGTTGCTTTTCAGGTATCTTACAAAATCATATTGAGGAGTGCAATAAACTGATGATTGATTAAATTCTCTAGGAGAGAAATAAATTACACTTTACAATAATTTAATGGTCCAAAATTGCCTAATTTTCCGATGGTTTCACAGAGTACTGTTTAGTTTAGATAACAGATAAGAATCATAGAAGTTGGGCATCAGCAGCCTAATGCCTGTAATCCTAGCTACTCAGGAGGCAGAAATCTGGAGGATTGTGGTTGGAGGCCAACCCAGGTAAAATGAAAGCGAGACGCTATCTCAAAGTGCCCAACACAATAAAGGGCTGGTGGAGTGATCAAGTGGTACAGTGCCTGTCTAGCACGTGTAAGGCCCTGAGTTCAAACCACAGTACTGCAGAAAAAGAACCTAGAATTTTACTTGAGTGTTTTTGATGATCGTACTGTCCAATGTAGTAACACAACCAATGATGTAATTCTAAGATCTGGAGAAGGTAAGTGGCTTTGCATGAGAGCAACATCTGAGTAGAGTGGAGAATCCAGATTTCCTAACTTCAAATTTGTTGAACTAAAGGAAGTAAAATTTATATGATAGTCTGTTTACTACATTTTTTGAAATGTTAATAAGCGATATTTATGGAAGGCTTGCTGTATTCTAGGAATAGCATTAATTGGTTTTATTTTGTTCTTGCAAAAACTCTATGAGATAGAAGTTACTTTTATCTGCTTCTTGTTGTTTCTTGGTGGTGATACTGGAGTTTGAACTCATGGCCTCACACTTGCTAGGCAGGTGCTCTACCAGTTGAGCCACTCTCCCTGGCATTTATTGCTTTAGTTTATTTTTCAGATAAGATCTCTTTTTTTTGCCTGAGACTGGCCTTGGACTTAGATCTTCCTACCTGTGACTCCTGTGTATCTGGGCATAAGTCACTGTGCCCAGTTGTTTATCTGCATTTTAAATATGAGAAAACAAGCTTAGTGAAGTCAAGGAACCAAATTATGATGAGGGAAGAGCTGACTCTCCTACAGAAATCCTCTGGCTCCAGAGTTTGCACTGTACCATTCTGAATGGCTTCTCATGTGACTGGGACTAGGTAGAAATGGAAATGTGGGCAGTTCATAGATTATAAAATAGGGGTAAATTATAGAGTTATGTTTCCTAATCTGCAAGTGGAGGTATTATCTCCTGGGATTGATTAAATTAAATGAGTTAAAATAGGTGAAGTATTTAGGAGGATCTTTAACACACAGAGGGCATTCCATAAATGTTAGCTATTACTACTAATATTTTTTGGAGATCTACTAAACTTCTATACATAAGAAATAGAAGGTACCTTCTCTGAAAGAGATCATAGGAGGAAGTTCTATGTGTACATGGAGGAAAATTTTCAGATCAATTCATTCTCTGATATCCTAGTTTAGTGGGAAAATGGACTTAAAAAATAATATCCTAACAATACAGGAAGGGGAAACCCTATGTGGTGTGCCTAGACTGTGATAACTTATATCCCCACAGTTTTCAAAATGATTCTGACAAATATGAACAAAGGCAAGGAATTGTAGAAGGATTGAATGACCAGATTAATTAATTAATTTATTTTTGGATAGGGTTCTGGACTGCACCATTTAGTAGGGCATTCATGAATTCATTCAGCGAAGACTTGCTGGGCAGTTTTCTAGGCACTGAGGATGAATGAACCATGGCTCCTTTCTTGAGACTCTCCCTATTTATACAATGTAGACAAATACATAAGTTATAAAGTTTCCGTAGCACACAAGTGTTGATAATTGGACTGATAAGCTTCAAAGAAAGTGCTCTAGGAGTCTTTCTGGACAAGAGACAGAGGAAATGTTTGAGTGGACTTGGAGAGCCACCAGATGGAGATCCCTAGGGTAATGCTGTTTGGAAAACTTTGTGTCTGGGTCAAAACCATGTTGAAAAGGTTGGATGGCAGTCAGTTTATGAAGGCTACTTTTGAATAGGAGCATGAGTAGATCATTTTTTGTTTGGTTATAATAGTTTGAGGACCATGTCAACAGAAGGAGGAGAGCAGAGAGAAAGCTGTTACCTTCCGTCGGATGAGGAAATGAGTGGTGATGAGAGCCTGAACTTCCATAGGCAATGGGGATTGAGAAGCTGAAAGTGGGAGGCATCTGAAGCAGAAGTGATGGGGTTTGGTACCAATTGTCTATGAAACTGACTGGTGGAGAGTGAAATTGAAATTGATACTGGCTCACCTGCTATGCATGCAGGTAGTAAAGGAGGATCAGAGCAAGATTTCTCAGGAAAAGCTGATGAGGTTAATATGAGCATGTAGCTTTGTCTGTGTTCAGTACTCAAAAATTTCTTTGCTTTTTAATTTTGGTTTTCAACATTTATTTATCTTGTCTACCCAGTAAGATGATAAGTATTTGTTGATTGAATGAATGTGTATAGGCTAATAATGAGATAGAGCATTGTCTGTGTTAAAGACAAATACATGTAGATTCAAGATGGAGGAATGTGTAGGATTGAGAACTGTCTCTAAGTAGAAAGTCTGAAGGGAGTGGGCTGTGTTGTTTTACGTGATAAGGTCGTCAATGGGTATGAAGTGTCTGTTGCATGACTGTGTAGGGCATGGCCAGGATCTGGAGCTGATAGGAGGGTGTCTGGAGAAAAGATGGAGGCATCATTGCCCAGTGTTGTAACGGTTCTTGTGGTTGCACAGTATCCTTTGTTATGTGTCCTTTTCATTTGGTGTGTGGCACTGTGTGTACATGTGGTGCCTGCTTACAAATGCGCAAATGCATACGCAGACACAGACACACACTTCTAAGCTCCCCAAGTAGAACATGGCAAATTCTTTGTTGGCAGGAACCACTGTTTGGTTCATATCTAGGCTCAATGAATATGTGCTAAGTTTTCTTATTCATAGGTAGAATTGCTTGGATGGAAATAATAGTGAATAGTCTTATAAAATGTATAATCCAGAATAAAATTTCAGGGCTGGTGAAGTACCTCAAAGGTAGCAAGTGTGAAGCTCAGAGTTCAAAACCCCACTACCACCACCACCATCAAAAAAAAAAAACAAACCACGATAATAAAATTTCATAGTTTTGTTGAGTTTCTTGGGTCTTTTTTCTCCTCTATAAAAAGTAATGAAGTAATTTGCTGAAGAAAATGTGTGTAAAGGAGCCAGACTGTCTGGGTTTGAAATCCAATTTTCTGTCTGTGTGATGGAGGCTTATTTGAACTCCATATACTTTGGCACCCTGGACTTCATGGAGGGGGTGATAGCAGAACTTACTTCATATGGCTTTGTGTCAGACAGCACATATTGATTGCTTAGCGCAGTGCTTGGAACATGGTGGATGCTCTGATAGTGCCAGTGAGAAAAGTGGCCCAACGTTTGAAAGCGTCTTCTTCAAAAGCTACTCTGTGCATGATGCGTGGGGCCACAGGCAAAGCTTCATGTTGCACAGTTCCTGGAGTGTCATTGTATCTTGGCCTGTGCTGCTATAAGCGACTGTCCTGCTTACATTCCCATTGGTCCTTAAATCAACATCTCCAGTATCAAGTGTGAAAATTGAGGCCCAAAGACAACATTAGCTGTAGAACTTAGGATAGCTTTAGCTCATTTCACTCCAAGTAGCGTTATTGTGTATCTGTTGGGCATTGGAACCTGGTGTCCAGAGATGAGTGTTGCACCACTGCCATCTGTCACCAGCATCTCCTCTGTATAGGACATTGTTGTCTTGATCTGGGCCTGGCAAGGTGAATTGTTGTGATGCAATTTTTCCCTCTCTCCTTCCCCTCCCTTCCTTCCTCCTCCCCCGTGTGCTTACTTCCTGTGTGCTCATGGCACTGGTTGACTCCAGGTCCTGGGGGGCTTCACCGAGGGGACCAAGGTACTGCTGCCTTCTCTGAGTAGTTGCTCTCAGGAGCTTGCAGACAATGATTTTGACAAGCTCAGTGTCAGTAGCGATGGTCACCTTGAAGCTAAGCCAGCCCAACTCAACTCCAGCCCTATCTTCTTCCTATCATCCCATACCTTTTCCCTGAAACTCACATTGCCTCTGTCTTCCGATGGAAAGGCTGGATTTTAAATCAGGCTTTGAGGCACAGATGAAGCTAGGTGACTGGGAGCCTGTGGACCTTGAATGCTTGTCACTGTTCTAGGTTTTCTTCAAATTCCCTGCAAACTATAAAACTCTTTGATCCCATGATGACAATTCAGGAAAGATTAAGGCATAGGCACTATTTCTATTAATGTATGAGGTTTTATTTATGTTCTCAGTTTTCTATATAATTTTCATTGAGAAAATTTTGTTTGGAAGAACCTATTATTTGTGTCATGCTTTTAAAGAAGAATTTTGTTTCAAGCTTAATATGCAGTAAGACCTCATCTGCCTCTTTTTAAATTGTTACTCTGTTTTTTCTTTGACCTACAGTTTGGGGATATGGATTCCTGTCGGTGACAATTATTAATCTGGCATCTCTCCTCGGGTTGGTTTTGACTCCGTTGATAAAGAAGTCTTATTTTCCCAAAATTTTGACATATTTTGTGGGGCTGGCTATTGGGACCCTTTTTTCAAATGCAGTTTTCCAACTTATTCCAGAGGTAAGGATATTGGCTATTTGGTTTTGTGAATACTTGCTTCTTTTAAACGTTTTAGCACTTTGCTTTAACCTCTGTAATTCTCATAGCATTTAATGGTCTGGTTTATAGTGTTTTGGATAGAGAAAGCTGAATCACAGCAAATGTAAGAGCTTGTCTCAAGCTGGAGTGGATGTCAGTGATAAAATTAACATTCTAGGAGGCCAGCCACCAGGACGTGCTCAGACAACTCTGGGCCACTGCCACGGGCCTTAACACTTCATTCTGCTTTGCAATTGGAAAATTTAATTTTTTCTGCATGCTATTTCATTATTTATTTTTTTCTAAAGAGCATGCAATGTCAAATTTATTAAACATATACTGCAAAAATTCCCTCATACACTTACTGCAGCTATGGAATACCACAGGGTGAGTGTGAGTGTGGTTGACAATCAATAGAGGACCAATAAATAAATATCAACTTATTTTTTCCTCTGAAAAAATGTGCTATTGATCTGACATTGACTACAGTGTACTATTCATTTAATCAACAAATAATATGTATGCTTTATTTCAGATCTATATTATGGCCATATAAGAAAAGGAAGTGGAGGAAGGAAAATAAGTGAGAGGAAAAAAAGAGGGACTGTTGAAGATGAGGGAAAGAAAAAGAGCATTAATAAATGGGAGCCACAAAGGAACAAGGGGGCAGTCTAGTATCTCTTCACATATAATGTATGTACACACAGAGGGAGAGACAAGCCCCACACAGAGAGAAAATAGTATTTTAGAGTGTATCTCCTTTATATGTTTTAGAAAATAATTAAGGTTTCTTTTAGTTTTCAGCCTATATATAAAAATGAGGGTATAGCTTCTTAGACTTTATTATTATCTGATCTAGCAAGAGCCTAAAAGAATAATTACTTCAAACCCTCAATGATAAAGAATAAAAAATTAAAATCCAGGGGAATTATTAAATGACTTCATTATAGTCATACAATTGGCTAGCAACACAGCTGGGGTGACAATACATATTTTCTCATTAAAAATACATTTTGTATAATGTATTTAATATACTACAATGTTGTATATATATGTTCTTGTTATCTTGCCTGCTTTGTGAATCAAATTAAATGAAATGAATTGTGCTGGCGATGTAACTCAGCAGTAGATTGCTTGCCTAGCATGCACAAGACCTTGAGTTTAAGTCCCAGTAGTGCAATGCAATCAATCAATCATCAGTAAGTAAATATAAATAAATACTGTATATGACTTGGAGATTCTACATCTATCATTTTAAGATTTTGTTTTACTAAAAATGTAACAATATAAGAAATCTGTCTTTGTAGTAATAGCTTAAATTTCCGTATGAGTTATTTATATATTTGCAGAACTTCTTTTCCTTTTACTATTTCATTTTATTTTATAACCTCTGTGTTGAGTATAATTTAGGCCTGTAAAAACAGACACAGAGAAATGACTTAAATGAAGATAGGGTCGTGGGGACTCCCCAAAGGCAGACACAGGGCAAGGACTCTGACATCTTCTATTTGACTTCAGAAGAGACTTACAGTACCCTGAATGGTGCAAAGTTCTGGCTTTTCACAACTGCTCCCTCCTCCTAGTTTACTTATTTTAAGCTTATGTTTCTTGTGTGTTTGGAACACCTTAACTCTTTGTAACTTCGAACTTCTACTTTTGTCCTTTGTTTCTCCTCTCTCTCTCCCTCTCTCCATTGTTAAATCTTCCCTTCTTTTTGTTCTTGGGCTTAGTTCTTGATTTTTAGGACTTACCAGGATTCTCTAGGTATACAAAGATCTCTCTCGAGAAAACAGTAACTCAAATGATCTCTCCTATTTGCTTTAAAACTTAGTCCAGAAATCATGGGCAAATACATTCCTTTTAGAGATAGTGGGGAATTAACATTTCCTTTATCTTCATTACCTAGGCCTATTATTATTTCCCAAATATGAGAATCTGTGCTGCTTCTTTACTGCTAAAGGCTTATTCTTTTAAGGAAAATATTGCTGTAAGTGTTACAGAGAGGAAACTAAGATTCTTTGGTGGCGTTTTATGGCACTTCTGCTTACAAGACTTCTATGCCATCCCATACAGTTACTTAAATTTCAGAGTATTTGTTTTGTGATTATTAGGTAAGTTCCCAGTATTAGCTGGATGTAAAAACAGAGTTAGATCTTTGGTGAAAACTGTTACTGAGAAATTCTGGTATCCTCCCTCCCACCAGATGTTAAGTCAATTACTTGTTTTCTCCTAATTGTTTTTTTCCCCCCTCACTTAGGCATTTGGATTTAATCCCAAAATTGACAACTATGTTGAGAAGGCAGTTGCTGTCTTTGGTGGATTTTACCTACTTTTCTTTGTTGAAAGAACCCTTAAGATGTTATTGAAGACATATGGTCAGGTAAACAGACTTTACTGAAAGCATTTGCTATGTTACCCTTGGAAGCTTCTTAATATAGGTAGGAATTTTATTCTTAGAATTATCTGAATAGTTCAGTTATTAGACTTGTGAATGTGAAAAGAACAAAGTCATTATATTGACAAACATAAGAAGACACATGATTTATATCACAGAATTTGGAACAAGGACCAACAACTGCATGTCAAATAACTGATGTACATAATTCATACTCCATTCAGAGTCATCAAAATAGGGAAGTATGTGTACTGTAACATGAAAATGGAAACAACAGAATCTAATTGATTCTGAACACACTTAAAGAGAATACATTTAAGAAGAAAAAAATCTTCATTACTCTAAAAAGATTATGTTACATAAAAAACAGATATAAAAAATTCTTTTATAAATGAAAAGGAGTAGACCATATTCTTGTCTATATGAGCCATCTTGTAGTCTTCTTACACCCTCTTCAATTTTTTCCCACATAGAATGATCACACCCACTTTGGAAATGATGACTTTGGTCCTCAGGAAAAAACGCATCAACCTAAAACATTACCTGCAATCAACGGTGTGACATGCTATGCAAACCCTGCTGTCACAGAGCCTAATGGACACCTTCATTTTGATAGCGTCAGTGTGATATCTCTCCAGGTATATTGCATTGATTTTGGTTTTGTTTTTCTTTTACTATATTGCATGCTTTATTTTTTTAAACTTGGAACCTCATGCTTGCCAGGCAAGTGCTCTGCCACTTGAACCATTAACCCAGTGCCACCCTTCCTTTTTTTTTAGTTTTTTTTTGGATAAGGGCTCATGTTTTTGCCTGCAGCTGGCCTGGACTGCAATCCTGCTACATATGCCTCTTTTAGCTGGGACAATAAGCATGTCCACCATACCCAGCTTATTGGTTGAGATAGGGTCTTGCTAACATTTTGCCCTAACTAGCCTGGAACTGAAATCCTCCTGATTTCTGCCTTTCAAGTAGCTTGGATTGTAATCACGAACCACTGGACTCTGTCTGCATGCTTTTTACTATATAAAGACTGTGTGAATGCAGTCAAGTTGGTATTTTGTACAGTCATTTATATCAGACTTACTCTTGCATGTGTGAGGTAAGTTTGTTAAGTCTGCAATTTTTTCTACTTTCCCTCTGAATATTGACTCTAAACAAGTGAGTTAAGAAAGAAATTAACAGAAGCTTCATTATTTTGTAAGATTGTTTAACGATACAAGTGTTTCTCAGTTAGTTATAAAATATATGTAGCAAACTTAACTGAGAGCACTTTAAAAAATTTTTATTAGTGTATATTAATTGTACAAAAATGTTTCATTGTGATATTTCCATACATGCATGGTATACTTTGATCATATTTGCCCCAATTAAGAACATTTCTCTTTCAATTATTTCAAGATCCAAAACCAAGGAATTCTTTGGGTGATTCTGAAACTACAAGAAGAAAGATTTGAAGGCTATTAAAGTTGTGTTCATTAATTAACTGGCTTAGAATTTGGATTTGCATCTTTCAAACTATCTTAATGAGTACTATTTCTTGAGCAAGTATTATATGCCAGGTAATATGCTAGGGAATTAATGACTTTATTTGAATTACTTTTTAGAACAACTACTCAAAGTAGGGCTTATTTTCTGCGTTTTAGAACTATTTTGGTTTAGAGTGAGGGAAATCAAACTTGAATTATTTATGAACGAAAGACAATTTATTGGAAGGCTGCTTAGGGTATCAAGTGGGAAAGCCAAGGTACAGAAAGGATAAGAATCCGAGGGCTATGTGACCCATCAGGATTCCTCCCCATCTCCAGGAACCCTAGCATCATTCTTCTCTTTCACTGTGGAATACCTCCTTCCATAAGAGGAACATGTAGCCACTGACAACTCCCAAGATTTATGCTTTTTAATTTCAGCTACTGAAAGGAAATTGGCCTCTCTCATGCCTAAATCCAAAGTTCCTTGTAAGTGTCCCCACTGCCTTGAGTGAAATGATCACTTATATGGCTATATGACTGGGCCCCTTGTTTGACTTTAATGGAGTATGCATGGTGCAGAACATTATTAAAAGGGGTGCTGGGATAATAGTGTCATTGATGTCTGCCATAATTCTCATTTGACAGATGGAGAAAGTGGATATTTAGATGTTAATAACCTGTCCAGTGTTCTCAGGTAGTAGATGACAGATGCACAAACTACTAAGTTAAATACAACAGAAAAGTGCACAATTACAATGAAAAGGAAAGCCAACCAAGAAATAAGAGAAAAAAGTGAAAGAGATTATTATGACAAATGCTCTAAGAGAGGTATTAATGACAAATAACCTGAGTTTCCTTCTGGAAAGAAAGCGTGGGTTGGTCATATATTTCTCCCAACAAGATGAAGAAAAGATCTCAAATGTGTTTGAAGAAGCAGTTTTATGTTAGGACTGAGTTCACAGGAAATTATTTTATGCGATGTAATGGGTGATATTTTTAGCCAAAAGTTTGCAAAAAGTATGTAAATGTTCAATAGATAATTTCTTGTAGTAATTACACCTAACATTTATGAATTGCTCAAGAACTATCTCTAGAACATTAAAAGAATTACTTCATTTGATCTTCATAGCCAACAGGACAAATACTATTATAATTAAGAGACTATATATCTTAGAGATGTTAAGTAACCTACTCAAAGACATTCAGTTACTAAGTGGCAAAGTTTGGATTAGTACCAAGACCTTGTGACGCTAAAGCCTATGTTCTTATTTATGTTGTTAGAGTGACTTCAGTGTGTCATTTTACTAGAAACAACACATTAAGTCTTAATATTTATTTTTGCCAGGGAAGAGAGATAATTTTGCTCAAGAATATTATTTTCTTAGGATAATTTTTTATTTTGTGGTAATACTGGGGTTTGAACTCAGGGCCTTGCACTTGCAAGGCAGGTGCTCTATACCTGAGCCACACCTCCAGCCCTTTGAGGAAAACTTTAATGCAAGTCACAGCACAGACAACCTAGAGAATGAAAGTTAAGGCCTTTCCTTATACTGTGTGTCTAAATTCTAGTTGCTTTATGCAAGCATTGGCAAATACTGGATCATAATGAAATCCTGGCTGAGCTCTGATGGTGATTCAAGAAGTGTCAATCAGCCATGCTCACAATTTATTTTTTTTTCTTTTTTCTTTTATTTTTCATATGTGCATACAAGGCTTGGTTCATTTCTCCCCCTGCCCCCACCCCCTCCCTTACCACCCACTCCGCTCCCTCCCTCCCCCCCCTCAATACCCAGCAGAAACTATTTTGCCCTTATTTCTAATTTTGTTGTAGAGAGAGTATAAGCAATAACAGGAAGGGACAAGGGTTTTTGCTGGTTGAGATAAGGATAGCTATACAGGGCAATGACTCACATTGATTTCCTGTGTGTGGGTGTTACCTTCTAGGTTAATTCTTTTTGATCTAACCTTTTCTCTAGTACCTGTTCCCCTTTTCCTATTGGCCTCAGTTGCTTTTAAGGTATCTGCTTTAGTTTCTCTGCGTTAAGGGCAACAAATGCTAGCTAATTTTTTAGGTGTCTTACCTATCCTCACCCCTTCCTGTGTGCTCTCGCTTTTATCATGTGCTCATAGTCCAATCCCCTTGTTGTGTTTGCCCTTGATCTACTGTACACATATGAGGGAGAACATTCGATTTTTGGTCTTTTGGGCCAGGCTAACCTCACTCAGAATGATGTTCTCCAATTCCATCCATTTACCAGCGAATGATAACATTTGTTCTTCTTCATTGCTGCATAAAATTCCATTGTGTATAGATACCACATTTTCTTAATCCATTCATCAGTGGTGGGGCATCTTGGCTGTTTTCATAACTTGGCTATTGTGAATAGTGCCGCAATAAACATGGGTGTACAGGTGCCTCTGGAGTAACCTGTGTCACAGTCTTTTGGGTATATCGCCAAGAGTGGTATTGCTGGATCAAATGGTAGATCGATGTCTAGCTTTTTAAGTAGCCTCCAAATATTTTTCCAGAGTGGTTGTACTAGTCTACATTCCCACCAACAGTGTAAGAGGGTTCCTTTTTCCCCGCATCCTCACCAACACCTGTTGTTGGTGGTGTTGCTGATGATGGCTATTCTAACAGGGGTGAGGTGGAATCTTAGCGTGGTTTTAATTTGCATTTCCTTTATTGCTAGAGATAGTGAGCATTTTTTCATGTGTTTTCTGGCCATTTGAATTTCTTCTTTTGCCATGCTCACAATTTAAACACTGATTAAAAATTCTTCAGATGTGAGATGGCGAAGGTCATACCCTGGTATGAAATTTGGAGCCTCATTCAGAAAAAGGTATTCCTGTATCTCTCAACATTACCATGACAACTTCTGCAAATCTATACTTCTGTGGAGAAGGAGTTTGAACTTGGTTTAAACTTGAACCCATTCTCCTTTGAGATCCCTAAGTCCTGTTACACAAAGAATGAATGATGCAGAGATTAGGATTTAATATATTTAAATATCCTTGACCATGGCAGAACCAGTGTGGTCTCTCTGGAAGACCTGATTTTAGGAAGGTTCCCTTGGATGAACCTATGAGAGTAAACTCAGTGCCAAATGCACTTCAAGTGTCAGTGAGCTGGTCATAATAATTCTGTTTGGACAGGAGGATGACTGACAAAACCTCTAGCACTGTAAGAGGTTAAAATTTTCTTTTTCTTTCTTTCTTTCTTTTTTTTTTTTTTTTTTTTAACAAACTGAGCTGCTCAAAAGCTTGAATTTAGTTAAAAGATTTAGGCTCCTAGTTTAGGATGAGCTCTGCCAGAAGACATGATTACTGTAAATTTAAACACTGGCAAAGGTCGAGTCATGGACTTGATCTTGTTTTAGATAATCTAGAAGTATCAGTCAAAAGGCTATTTTTATTCTTCTTCTGACGGTACTGACTTTCTTTCACTTTTCCAAGAAATATTTGTTGAGTGACTGCTCCTGTTCTAGGCACAGGGGATTTAGAGGCAAACAAGTTCTCATAAACCTTGTAGTTAATTCAATGGAAATAGTAGAAAAGATTAAAACAAGAAAATATCAGATAGCAATAAATGTTTTGGTGAAAATAAAACATGGTGATATATGAGAGTGACATGGAGGAGCTTCTTTTGACTGAGGGTCAACTGAGTCATCCAGCAGAGAGCTTGACAACTGAGAGAGGAATGGCCATACAAATATCTGAGAAAAAAGTGTTCGGAAGCCTTTTGAAATATTCAAACAGATCCCATATGAGGGAACTGGAAGTTAAATGGTATTGAATTTCTAAGCATTCACACTAGAGAACAGTGGCAGGATTCCTTCAGTATTCTGAATGAAAACGACTGTGGGATTACAAACCTGTGGACTCGACCGGATCGAATGAGGCTAGGATTCTGGAAATACATGTCCAAGAATTAGAGGTCAGCTGAAGAAAGCACAGAATATGCATCCTTGGAGGATAGCTATGCACTAGACCTTGAGATGAACCACAAAAATAGTACAGATTTCTTATGGGGACTATTTTGTTGACATTTCATTGAAGGAATAGTTTCAAGGGAATAAAGATTTAAGCAAACTGACCAATATGCTGCTATTTTCAGTTTTCTTAGGTTGTATAAAAATGCAAATGGAATTTAAGGAAAAAGTGAGGTT